GTAAATAAAGCTCAGAGGGATTGAAGCTAGATAGACTGGAATTGCGATTCTACCCTCCAAGCCAACAACCATGTGTCACCGAATGACAGTAGAAAGATTGAAATCTAGAAACAGATATGTGTTATGACTGAAGAAAAGTTCTTCTTTTTCCCCACAGATCACATTGACAGAATCAAAGCAACTAAAAACACTAAGAAGAAAGGTGATGCTAGAAGAGACATAAGCATAGAGAAAGAAAACGAACCCGAGTTGCGCTAAAAATGCTCAATAATAGCTAAGCTATGGGGATTAGGTGTGCATATTTTAGTCAAGGAAGTGAATAAAAGAACATATGGCATAAAATTCTTGGACTCTGATTTTTCCCACAATTTACGGTACTGTGTTGGTGTGATCATGAATTGGCTGATGTTACAAGCGACGAAGGGATAACGCTCGACACGTCAGCTTTATAAAACTCTTTTTGGTGGCTAATTCATTGTGGCGAGTAAATGATTCAATCACTCAGCAAACTTTTCATGCTCGACGTCACGAAAAACCCGAGAAACTTTAACTTTTTCAACCATAGCTACCTATGACAAAGAATTTATCATAGTACAAGAATCTGATACAAATTTCACACGTTTAAAGGCAAGCCTGTCCATTTTGTATACACTGAAGGCTTAATGTTAAGTAACAATTAAATTTGTACCTGAACGACTCCCTTTGATTCCCCTTTGATAAATGTCCTTTTTTCATCGTGTTTGGAATTTCTTGTTGATCACTCGTACGGATGAGTTGAGTTAAAACACTATGCAACTGGGGAGCTGAGTTTCTTTGGCGCGAAATTTACGGCGACGTCATACCGGCCACTAAATGCACATCTACTGAAAGCGGAGCCGCCTACTTAAAAGAATTATCATTTTAGGTCGTCATAGACCTCTTTGCTGTTATAAATTTTAGAATGAGCCTTTTTATCAATTCTTTTTCGCATTTTCTGCCTCAGCCAACGGAACGCAAGGATAACTGAGTAGGTCTGAATTCAGCGTGTATTGATTCTCTTATTTCCTTTTGACATTTCATTGGCTAGATTTGAAAATTTTTAGGAATTTTCGATTCAGATTTGTTCGCTGATTGATGTTTATTGTCTAGATGACTTCATCTCATTGGTTTAATTTCAAATGTATTTGTAGACATGCATAGCTTAGTCAGGGGGTTAAATTTCCGAGCTGCATGTATATTGTACAACCATTCATATTTTTTCAAATCTAGCCGTATGATATTTTAGGTGAGTCACCTGCATGAATTTTTCAAACTTGGTTTCTTGCTGCACACGGATTTTTTCCGTGTACTCTTTACGTGACCGACTCTTTCCCCTGAAAAATTTAATTATAGAGATCAGATAAAAACTCACTGCTAGATAAATCTTTGTTTACTTTGGTCACGTGCATCTATCGTTTGAAGAGTATCTAATTTGACATCATCCCGCCTACAATGGTAAACAGTTGTGGGCTGATGAGCTTGAGGAAGATGAAGGGCCCAATTGTATTGTTTCTTTGCCTCAAACTTGCGACTTTTCACTCACCCATTTCGCAAAAGCGACAGGCAAAGCCACAGATGCTACATTCTTTTATGCGAAAGATGTACACCTCGCGTGCACAAGCTAATAGAAATGGTAGCTTCACAGTCTCATTGCGCCGAGATCAGAGGATTCTTGCTGACTCCATTCGAGGGTTTCAGCTGGAGAAAGGCGGTGAGTACCATTTGAACGCTATTTAAACACATATTTTTCTGAGTGAGTAAATTTCGTTTATTCAAAGGATCACTCATCATGCGACGGAATTAAGTTGAAATTCGCGACTCTCACTTAAGAGCGAATATACTGAACTGTCAAGGAAAAACTTTTCTTGAGTTGAGGAATTTTTTTCATCAATTTCAACCAGACTTTTTTGAAATGTGAACACAAATTATCTCAACAGCCTTTCCTTGTCCTTTAGAGGTACTTCGTAGTGTTAGAGGTACATTCGGTTCCATCACCTGGATTAGTTTCGTTGAGGATTCCGCATTGCGTGTGGATGCGTAGCACTCTTAATATTCAATGCGCTCCAAGTGAACAATGAATATAGTAAGAGGTGTAACTGTATAATTCAAAGTAATTGTTAATTTCCTCACCCAGTTTTATACTAGTTAGAGAAAGCATAGGCAGAGTTTATATTGCACAATAATGCTCTGTTAAAAAGGTATTAAGAAGAGCAGATCATGTAAAACGACTACGCCCTCGACACTCGGCCGGCAACGATCACGAACGAGTGCGATCAAATTTCTCGTTAGAAAAAGAACAAAGGAGGGGTTCTAATTTGACCGGTGCGCACAAAACATTCTACTCCCTTGATCATGTGGTCAGTTACGGTAGACTGCTCTTCTTTGTTTGTTTTTTTGAAGTTGACATTAAAACAGTTGTTTTTATAATCTATTTACACTCTCTTTGAAATTTTAATGACTGCTAGTTTTGTTGTCATAACATTTTTTAGGAACTACGTGGAAAGGGTCTACCATTGAGTTGAAATTTCACATGGGAAACAGTTTCAAGGACGACACAGTAGTAGAGGCTGAGCTTGTGTTGACGTCCAGACTTTCAGCTAAATTGTTGCGCCGACGATATAATGTCAGCGTGTATCATGAACAATCGGTTTTGGTGCCAAACGATACAAGGCTTTTGGATTCCCGTACTCTTCCTGGAAAGGCAAATGCTGAGTTTGGTCTCAACGTGACACAAGCTGTGAGGATGTGGAGTTCATCTTTGGCTAGGACTTACACACTACTGGTAAGACTGTGCACTCAGTCCATACCTGGATTTTTGGTTGAACACTATTGACCTTCGTTCATCATGTGCCACACTGATGTCGCAAATTCTTCAATATCGTGTTTTTTGTCTATGTTTGTTTTTTTGTTTTCATTTAAAGTTTTTTCTACCAAACGGTTTTGTCAAACAATATTAACCAAAATTTTGACCCTTTTCTAATGTACTGTCTTTCTTCATACCTCTGAAAGTCTCTTAGATTTCTGTGTTTATTCCTCTTCCCCTGTTTAGAAAATTGCCAATTACCACCATTAATAACATTAATCTATTTCTTTATTCAATTTATTTCCTCTAAGGTAAAGATAGAACCACATGATGACTCTAAAGCTTCCTTAAGTGTCTGGAGATACCTGGAACATGGCCACATGCAAGGACCCTTCCTTGTGCTGTACACACAATCAAAACAGGGACAAAAGAATGATGACATCTGGAGGTTGTTGACAATCAATTGGCTTGCACTTTCACCTGTGCTCAACAGTTCCACTGCCCAAAATGATTACAGCAATAGCAGTTATACACAACTTTCTGGAAAAAACACTGGAAGGTCTCCTAGGAACCCAAGTCTCACTTGCCACAAGGTTTCATTTGCAATGAGAATGCAAGATATTTACCAAAATATTGTTGTACCACAGACTGCAGATATAAACTACTGTGATGGCTATTGCTACTTCCCTATTCAGAATCACTTAACTCCCACAATGCATGCCATAACATGGGCATTGATTTGGAAAAGGCAAAACCCAATAACAATCACACCCAAAAGACCCATGTGTGTCCCATCTAAGTTGATTGCTCAAACTGTAATCCAATCTGACCCCGAAACAGGCCAGCCAGTGCAGAAACAGTGGTTGAATTTTTCTGCCCCAGAGTGCGGATGCCGTTAAATCAGTTAAAGGACCCTTCAGTGATTTCCACCTTGTTGTACTAATTTTAAATAAACTTCTAACAGCTAAATAAATAATCAAAAACTGGAGGTAAAGGAAAAGGAAGGAGATATTCCTTAATTTGGTTGGCCTGTATAAAAAGGGTTTTGTGTTTACTGTTCTAAACATGCCTTGCTGTTCAATTACTTATGGTGAACTTGTTCATTTGTTTGCAACTTTTTAGACAAATAGGCCATTATTACATTCACTGAAACCATTTACCTAATCTAGTTCATTTCTCGCTGAAAAGTAAATATTTTCAAGTTCATGGTAGTTTAAACTTTGTTTAGAATTAGAATAAGTATTGGTCTGTGAGCACAAAAATCTTTAGGTGAAAAACAAACCAATAACGTTGTAAAGTCCACTGACATTGTGTAATTTTAGAGTTCATAATCTTCTATTGTTTTTTTTTTTCATCTGGTGGTGAATAAAATTTTTTGCAAAATGGGAAAGTGGCCGGCTGTGGTCTCTATGCATAGTATTTCCCGTAACTCTTGATGGAAGATCTCAGGATCATTAAGAGTAAACTGTATGCTGAATCTCAACAAGAAAAAGTGGTGGGTAACGCGGGAAAGAAATTAGAATTTGCACTATTTTAACATTGTATAATGAACAATGCGCTTAGCCCCTTGGAAAGGAGTTATTTTAGACCAGTAGCACCCACAATGGAAAATGCAGCCCAATGTTGGGGACTTCGAGTGTCCTCCTTACTTTGAAGGATCTTCATGGACCTCTGTAACGATACTGCAGCATCACGGGAAGCTTTATATTCGCGGTAGAATGACATCATCAACTCAGAAGCAGGTCCGTCATCAATCTTCCATAGCGTAACAATCACGCAAGAAGCACCAGCAGCCAGAAACGCCCGTGACAAGCCTAATGGAAGAAGGAGAGCAATTGTTACGGTGTATCCCTATGGAGTATACGATACTGCTCAGTAAAAGTAATGGAGCGCCACCTCGAGGCGATCGGGTCACTTTCTAATCCGTTGACCCTTTTGTTTCTTTAGCAAACTCAAACGTTGCACAGAAGTGACTTGCCTAAAAACTTCTTCAATTAGAGATACGAAATAAATATGGAGAGCCACAAATTTTTCATTTCCATCAGTCCATGGTTGCGATCAATCTCAGCTCAAACTTGCCTCCAAGTCTTACGCCCCTAAACTCCTTGAATCATTTCAACATTCCTTACTACAGTGTGGGTACCTATGGTATAAGATGGCCTGGTAAGTGTCTTCGAAATTCTGGAAGGCTAAGGAGAAAACTACCACAAAGAAGAACATAGGCGTAGAAATTCTAATAAAATGTTACCAACTCACCTAGTATTCCATCGCCTGTCACTTTACCCAATCCCGTTTCGCAACAGCTCAGTACAACAAGGTCAGCATTCAGTTCCATGCCCATCACTTCCTCGGCTGTCAGAATACCATTACATTCGAGGTCAGACTTGGCAAGAACAATGAGTCCTTTCATGCTAAAATCTCCATGAGAGTCTATGTCATCGATGATAGCGTGCGTCGCGAAGTGAAGAATCTTGTACTTTGGCATGGCCTCCATCACCACCACCTTTTGGGCCTGAAAACCGATGAGAATTTCAGACATCGGCGAGTTGATAGTCTCTTTGATCATGCGCACTTCACGCTCTGCAGAGGGGAGCTGTGGAAGCTCCTCAAAAGGCATAATGGGGTTTCCAACTGCAAGAAGAGTTAGCTCTTGAGGCGCTGTGGTCTGTTGAATGGTTTCGCGAGAAGCACAGGCTAAGTTGAGAAATTGGACCGCTGGAGAGGTAGAGATTATGAAGTCCTCCATGAAATAGTGACTCCTCGAGTCACTTTGCAAAGCTGCGAAGGGAACTTTGAGCAAAAAATCTTGAGGTATGAAAGTTACCCGTCGAGTTTCTTCCTTCCTGGGTAGGAAATGAATAATTGGCTCAATAAGAATCTCGTGGAGTTGGCTCAGCAGTGGTATCCAAGGATCCGGTTCAGGGTTATTCTGAGGTTCATTATTTTGCACCTTTGAATCTGCGCCAAGGACCTCAGTTACAACATCGTTCAAAGGACCCGACAATGTGCCCACGGAAACGTCACCACCTACTTTAACTGGGAACTGATCACTATTTTCTTCTTCAATCTTGTTGTTGCCTTGCAGAGAAGAATTAGATTCCTCACCTGATAGCTTGATGGTAAGATCATGTTCAAGGCCTGGTGTGGGAGCCCCAGAACCGCCAGGACCTGTTGTCATTGCCTCTTCGTCAATACGATTACCACTTGGTTTTGAAGCAATCGATATCTTAGATTTTGCTATATCGGACTTTAAATATGCGCACGGGTGTGAAACCACGGAATCAATCAATGGATGTTGAATGCTTTCCTCGCTTGTTGCAAAAGATGATTTATCTTTCTCCATTTCGCTTTGCTTCTTCGAGTTGTCCTGGGGGTCTTCCTCTTGGCATTCAGCTACGAGGGGAGATTTACCAGAAACAGCGTCATCTTCATCGAAAGCTACACTATGCTTTGTTACATTGCTTTGTTTTGAATGTCCACTTGAAAGGGCATTCTCTATACTCGACACCTCGTACGATTCTGGACTTACTACATTGCAAGGCTCCGTTTTATTGGTGGTTGGTTTCTCAGCATTTAGTCGGTCTACAGGCCAGCTGTCTGGACTGACTATCGAATCATTAGAGGTTCTTTCCTCTTTAATTTTTGGAGCTTCTTTAGGTACCATTATGTGTTCTTGTATTCTTTGATCCTTAACTTTGAGCGGAATACGCAAGTTTCGCCAACCGGTTGCGAACTCGTGTTCAAATCCTTCCAGCGAATTCAAGACATCCTCGCCTTTAAGTGTTGCAAAATGTATCTTGGCCTCCCTGGAAACCCTTTTTTGCTCTCCACATGATCTCAGAATCTTGCCCACTTCTTCTTTTTGAGATTGCTGGCCCAAAGATCGCCTCAGAGACACTATATATTCGTCATTGACCTCAACTTTTGTCTCCAAACCGTGCTGTAGACGAGTCTTCTTGAAATGAAGGCTTCCGGAAGGGCCTAACACCCATGTATACACCCATGTGAAATATGCCCCTGATTGGTCAAACTCTTTTACCACGGAGTAAAACACAAGTGTCGTAGAAAGCTTATGGCTGACTTCCACAAGATTGTTGAAGGATTTTGTAATAAATTCTTCATCAAGAGTTACCGTTTCTTCTCTACTGGTGGTATCGCTACAGCCTGATAATCGCTTTCGAACAATTTCCGCCAGTGCTCGGCCTCTACTTGCATCAGCCAAAACAAGAGCCTCTTTAAACTTCCCCTGCGCTACAAGCAAAACTTGTAACAGGTTATACGCTTCGGCTTGGTTCTTCTCAAAGTTAGACAGCTTCGATTTGTCTTCTTCACCGACCTGTGCGCGGATCCTCTCCAGTGTTTGAAACGCATCGAGAACCGAACTCCCTGCTTCCGGGAGCTTTCCTAAAAGGATGTAATCCATGGCCAACTGATGCTGCATAATGGCTACTCCACCGATGTCCATTCGCCTTTCAGCATTGTCCCGGTACTTTACATGGCAATTAATGGCATCTTCAAACCTTCCCAAAGCTCTGTAAACCGTGCCTAAGTTCCCCCATGCCATTCCTTCGCGAGCAACATTGTCTGCCCTGTGCGCACGATCGATGGCGAATCTAAACATCTTTACAGCAAAATCATTGTAACCCAGTGTGGTATATAGTTTGCCAATTTTGTTAAATGCCATTCCCATTCGTGCAAAATCACCCACTTGCTCGGCAAGGGAGTATGCAATGAACTGGTACACTACAGAATCATTAAACTCATTGGGGTTGTAAAACTTCAAGTATCCAATATTGTTGCAAGCAACAGCCAGGCCATGGATGTCTCCTCTACTCAATGCGTACTCGTAGTGTTTTGAAAACAGTTGTTCTGCATCTTTGTACCTGGAACGAATAAGTACTTGTTAGTTAGGGATAATTTGTTTATGTTAGAAATAGGGCGGTTAGAGCACACAGATTCAAAAGAAATATTCAATCCTTTGGCTCCAAAGATTTTTATGAGCATACTTTGTCTTCTAACAACTTGCAAAGGAATTGTTAAGTTACATGTTACCTTCCTTCCGATCTGAAAACGTTTCCCAGGTCCCCGCAGCAACTAGACACAAGACCAACGTCTTTCATTTCTTTGACGAGGCCTAGGGCTTCTCGTAGGTACTCTTTAGCTCTGCCCCAGTCTGCCGCAGATCTACAAGCATTTCCATAATACTGCAGGTAGAGAGCTCTCGTGCGAGGTTTCATTGTGGCTTTGGAAACCATCAGTGGCCTGAAATAGGTATCTATGGCCTGTCTTAGTTCACCGCGATCGAGCAAACAGATTGCTAGATGTACTTTAGCTAGGGATTCTCTATCAAAATCTATCACAAATGTAGCAATGTTCCACGCCCTCCGATACAACTTCTCGGCTTCGTTTAGTTCTTTAAGAAGGCGATGTATTGTTCCCAGATTAAGGGCAGCTTCAAATAAGAGTGGTGCTGTAATATCAAAAAACATAACATCGATTATGAAACAAAGAATGGCAGAAATACCTGGACAAATGGTCATCAATATTTTGAGTCATTTTTGTGGATACTATTTTTACCTTCAGTGAATCTTCACTCAGCCGAGTTTAAACTTGTGTATACTTTTTACTTGAAGCGTGATTGGGTGATAGTTTTTTTCTTGTGAATCATGATTTGAATTTTTCTTTATTCGTGAATTGTGGTAATAGATGATGAGATTTGTTCATGTCCATGAACACCAATCTGTCTTTATTTAAAGGTGACTTGTGAATGAAGCGCTGAATTGAACGCGATTCGTGAACCATTTTATTCATCATGATGAATTTCCGGCTATATAATTATTTAGAATATTTACATATTATTCTCGAGTGGCTGTAATTAGGTTTTGATCAGGGTTTTGATTGTACTTGGACTACATATGGATCGATAAAAATCATAAAAAAACCACTAATGGTCCTTGAACACATAAGATAATACAGTATGTTACAAGACTAAAAAAAAGTAAAAAATATTAATTCGAGAACTTGGTTTTTTCATTTTTACGTTAAACTTGATCGTCTCAAATTTCGCGTGAACGTGAAAAAAATTTGAATATTATTATTGTTGTGCGTAAGGGCCAAATATTTTTTACGTGACTGAGTATTTTGTGATTGAAAAGAAGAGTCATTTCGCCTCATCATTTGGGATATATAAAGAAACTTTGACCAGCGATCCACTTTTAGATGTTTTTTTAATAAGTTCCAACGAAATTATTTGATGCTTGTATATCGGCTCCCTTCGATAGGTAAAATGCGGAAAGCGTGACTTTTTACGCTGAGCAGTCACTTAAGTAGGCTAGCCTGACTATCAAAACTGCAGAGCAGAAATGAAAAAAAAAAACAATTTCAAAACGATATCATCGCGTCTTCTACTGCTTCTAAAACAATGTTTTATACAAAGAAAATAAATTGAATGTACCTACACCGTTTTCCCTCGCTGCGAGACCTCTCAAATTATCAGATGAATACTCCAGAGCAGTGTCTTCATATAATTTCTTGGCTGTTTCGAAAGCAACTTTCCAAGGACCAGTTGCGATCTGAATTTGAAATATTTGGTTAGTGATAGCAAATTTCTGTTGCTTGCTCATGGCTTTTTCTAGTATATACTCCCATATTATTAATGCTGTTGGAAGATCTGTCCTCGTGAAATGCTGCGCTATTTCAAACAAATAAGGAAATAGCGTTTCTTCCTCTTTCACTTTCTTCAGAACATCTTCATCAGCGGACGGTAGCTTTTGTCGTAATTTATCGAGTCCGTCTTTGGCAAGACCTTGGTGTTCTGGCACTAGGTATTCCATTACAGAGCTGATTGGATTTTTAACCGTGATCACAGCCAAAAAGATTGGCAAGATTCCGCCAGTACAGTCAATGAAAACTCGTTTCAGTTTGGCGAAAGGAAACTCACTTGGAATTGTGGGATGGACAGTTTTAGCGAGGAGTCTGGAAATAGCTATCAAGTTCAGCGGACTTCACGGTGTCTGAAACCGTCAAAGGAACAAATCCACAATATCTTGTCGAGAAAATAGTTAGCTCTCGTATTTATAAGAATAAATACTGGAAGGAGCAATATTTTGCGCTTCCAGATATTTAAGTCTTATTGACTTCCAGGTATAAAGTTCTACTGTCTCTAATATTAACAGATTTGACTCTGATATATTAATCTTTGGTATCCAATTTTGTTGGAGTTTGTTGAATCTAGACAAATGCAAGTTCACCAAAAGGGTCAATTTTGATGTATAAAACCGTACCGTGATAATTTATAGGAGCACTATAGTGTTGAAACTCTTCCTAATATCAGAGTGGAAACTAGCTGACATGAGATGTGAAGTTGGTTAGTTGAGCAACCTCGTTCCCAGGGCCTTTTCCCTTAGCTGGGGGCGGGGTGCCCGACCCCCAGCCCCCCCCCAGCTCTACCCCCCAACTAAGGGAAAAGGCCCTGGGAACGAGGTTGTTAGTTGAGCTGAGTGCTCTTGAAAGCTATAATAAGATGTCCCTTAGCTAGGTGGCCTCTGCCTTGTGTTAAGTATTTGAAATAAATTCTCAATAACAAAACTGCATCAAGAATCAAAAACGGAGGTGAAAGAAAGGAAGTTAAAAATTCAATGTAAATCATGCAGTCCTTTATTTGGCTGACCGGTCAATAAGTTCAAATAAGTGTGAAAAAGGATTTTGTGTTTAATGTTGGCGACATTCCTTGGTAATCAATTATGCAGGAGAACGTGTTCGTTTGCAACCTATAAGATAGATGAGTCAACATTACTTTCATCTAGTGTATGTAACGTTACATTCGCTGATACTTTTTGCTAAATCTACTTCATTTTGCATTTCCTACTTAAAAAGATGTAACATTGCAATCTCAATGATTTTTCTGGCTTAAAAATGGTTACATACAAGATTCAATTACATGGAAGTTGATTTCGGTGGGATTAGTTCACCCTCTATTTAGAATTAGAATGAGTAATTGATAGTGGGAAATGACTGACATTTTATATTTTTAGAATTAACATCACTGAAGTTGTTGTTTTCACCTGGTAATACATAAAATTTTATTTCAAAATGGAAAAGCTGTAGCCGTGGTTTCTATTGCGCATAGTATTTCCCATAACTCTTTAAGATAAATCTTAGGCTCATTAACACACCCTGTGCGAAACCTGAATAAAAAAGATCGGAGGATAAAATGACTTTGACTTTGGACACTCAATTAGAGTTTGCACTATTTTGACATTTTTATCTGACCAAAGTATTTAGATTCTTGGAAAGCAGTTATTTAACAGCAGTAGCACCAACGATGGAAAACGCAGCCCAATGTTGGGGACTTCGAGTGTTCTCTTTAGTTTGAAGGACTTTCATGGACTTCTGTAACGATACTGCAGCATCACGGGAGGCTTTGTATTCACGATAGAAAGACGTCATCAATTCGGAGGCAGATTTGTCATCAATCTTCCATAGCGTGACAATCACGCAGGCTGCACCAGCTGCCAGAAACGCCCGTGACAAGCCTATCAGAAGGAAAGCAATCGTTACGGCACATAGGACAATCGAGTCACTGTCTGTATTATATATTCACTTTCAGATTACTCTATTTTGTAAATAATGGTTCTCTTCATGAACTTAATTAAACGATTTGGTTTGCTGGGGTGTACTGTTACACATATTACAAAAATGCAAATATTTATGAAGTAAAAAGGGCGTGACGCTTCGATTTTTTCAACAAACTAAAACGAATGAAAGACTGAAGAGGATACTAAAACCCATTACGAATGAACAAATGAAATAATTGAAAAGCTGTACATTTATCATTTCCATCAGCTCCTTGTTGCGTCTAATCTCAACTTAAACTTGTTCCCAACTTTTATCCGCCTAAACTCTTTGGACCATCGAGACCTCCCTTAAAACGTTGTGGAAATGACTTCATATAATATCAGATAGATTTGATTGTGTCTTCCAAATTTAGGAAGGCTAACTAAGAGGATCGAACTACCACAAACACAAACATAGGCGAAAAAATTTTACGAAAAAGGTCATCAACTCACCCAGTATTCCATCGCCTGTCACTTTACCCAATCCAGTTTCGCAACAGCTTAGTACTACAAGTTCAGCATTCAGTTCCAAGCCCCTCACTTCTTCGGCCGTGAGAATACCATTACATTCGAGCCCAGACTGTGCGAGAACAATGAGTCCTCTCATGCTAAAATCGCCATGAGAGTCTGCGTCATCGATAATAGCGTGCGTCGCGAAGTGAAGAATCTTGTACTTGGGCATCGCCTCCATCACCACCACCTTTTGGGCCTGAGATCCTATGAGAATTTCAGACATCGGCGAGTTGATAATCTCTTTGATCTTGCGCACTTCACGCTCTGCAGAGGGGAGCTGTGGAAGTTCTTCAAAAGGCATTATGGGGTTTCCAACTGCAAGAAGACTCAGGTCTAAAGGTGCTGTGTTCTTTTCAGCAGTTTCATGCGAAGCGGTTGCTAAGCCGAGAAAGTGGATTGCCGGGCTGGTTGATATTATGAAGTCCTCCATGAAATAGTGACCCTTCTCGTCACTTTGCAACGCGGCGAAAGGAACTTTGAGTAAAAAATCTTGAGGTATGAAAGTCACCCTTTGATTTTCATCCTTATTGGGCAGGAAATCAAGAATTGGT